TATTTTGCACTTTTTCATTTTCATTTCAATAAAAAAAAATTATTCTCTTCATAAATTTTGAGCAAACATTTTGTCCTCTTGATACAATATGACCAATCACTTTATCCTCCTGATAAATATTGAGCATATACTTTATCTTCATAAATTTTGAACAGAATTTTCTCTTCATAAATTTGAACCATTATTTCTTCATAATTAATGAGCAAACAGTTATCCTCTTCATAAATATTGAAACTAAACATAGCTCTTCTTTCTTCCTCCGTCTTTCACTATTTTCGGTTAATTCTACAACTATTCCTGATTTAAGTCCTCTTGACATGATAAGTAAATATCAGTTTTATCAACATCTTGCTTATAATCTAACATTGTAACTTTAGTAATAGTAGTAATGATTTAACGTAGATGTTTAGCAATGTTTTTTTTCACATTTCTGACTCCCAATGGATATAAACTACATACAACATTGCAATTTTGTAAATATTCAAATTCAAGAGCATGAATAATGGAAAAAAAACTACTCATAAACCCTATAACCTCCAAGTTAATAGCTTAAACCCATGGAAAATGAAAAGAAATGAAATGAACCAAAAACAACCCAATTCCTTCAGGCATGAGAACCATGCAATAGGGAAGATTTGGGTTCTGTTAACTTAAAATTCTCTTTAAAATTGCTGCTCTGGAAACTGCTATATATGGTGAACTGGGAATGATCCTTTGCATACTAGATTTCCAAAGCAGCTTGATGGAATTCATACAATACCAATTCTAGGATGAATTATATACTTTACTTTTGTTGCTGATGAAAATTCACTTCTTATCAGTTATTTGGACTAATTTTGTTATTCTAAATTTGGACTTTTCTATCAATCTGTACTTTCAAATAATCTACATATAACTTACTAAATAGACATTCTAATTACACTTAATTAAAAACTAATCAAAATACTCACAAATCAAGAAAAAAAATCAACTTATAATTCAACTGTTACTTAAAAAACTAAAACTTCCATAATATTCTAGAACTTTTCCATTCTTATGAAAATACATTTTCAAGTTATATAATTGTTTCTCATTATCAGCTGAAGTCACAACAATTTTCGATTATTCTCATTTCCAAATGGTCGCATTCCTTCAGACGTTTCTTCAGGGAGAAACGTGAGTCCCAATCCATTCCCTTTCTTCTCATTTTACTTTTATACACAATATTTGTAGCTTGAAATAAAGAAGTATCGATTTGTTATATTTATTTAGAAAAACTCTGCAGTACATTTTATTATCTTGACGCCTGTAACCATCTCCACCGATGACTTTATGCACAAAGCTTTAATCCTTTTTGCTTCAGAGCAGTTCTGTTTAACATTACTCTCTTAAATTCAAAATAAACTAAAGAATTCATAAATAGATCCAAACTTATTTCTCTCCAGGAATGTTTTAGACAAAATGCTAAAACCTTTCAATGTTGACCATGATACACTTGAGAACTGAGCTCCCATGATTTACAAGCATACAATACAGTGCAAGAGCAGAGAATGGCCGTGAGAGCTTCTCTCGCTATAAATAACTGAATTCACTTCTGTTTCTCCTTAGCATGCGAAAGATCCAAGACACACCACAAAATCCATCCTGTCCCATCTTCTGAAAAAATGTGGAAAAATGGCAAAAATCTTGGGGAGTTTCTTCAAAGTCGCCTCTAAAAATGATTACAAGGGTTTTATCAAACAAATTAAAGGTCCGCAATAACAGTCTCCACTTCGTTCTGGGGGTAGCGGTGGAATCCCTTCTCTGGGGTGACTGCTGCGACCTCCACATTTGTGCCGCTGACCTTCTCCTCCATGACCTGCTTCAACACAGTCAGGGCAACCTTTAAGGCCTCCTGTAGAGTCATTGACTGAAAAGATTGAGAGGAAAAACAAACTGAGGTTAGAAAACAATGACAAATTTCCAGATGTTCCTATACTAATAGAAACTTCCCATGATAATGATAAAGTGAACTCCTTTAACATAGTATATCACCAGTAACTATGTAATGCCTTGGGACAAAACTACAAAATCCACTTTAGTTATATAGAATAAACAATACATCTAAATTAGTAATTGAAGTAATTTTTAGATATGAATAACATCTCAACGGCAAATAAGAGCAGTTACCTTGTGGTAGGATTCTTGGAGGGACTGCTGTGCACCCTCAGAGCCAGAGCCAATGGCCTTTGCACCGAACTCTAGGAAGGTGCCAGAGGGGTCCATGTGATACAGATGTGAGCCTGTCTTATCAATACCAGCAAATAACATAGCCACACCAAATGGACGACTCTGTGGAAATATAAAAAGAATTTTGGGAATGTGTTATCAATGCTACTTGCATTAACACCAAAAAGAAGGCAGTGAATTAATAAAAACATAACCATCAAAATTCAAAATCATTACCATTGCTGGACCATCATCATCAGAATCACCAAAGCGAATGGCAAGGTTCGACACTGCTTGAGCAACTGATTCCACCTTCATGTCTTCGTTATAAACAAACCAGTGGTTAGCACACTCCACACGGGCATGGTCCACTAAGGTACGAGAATCTGCTACCAGACCAGAAACTGCACAGCCTGTAAAATATAGTATCCAGTTAAAATACTGCTCATTATCTGCATATAATGCAAAATTAAATGACACATTCACAAAAACTTGCACACTTTGTTTCATACAAGAATCTTAAAACAACTTTATCTTACCGATGTGTTTGTCAATTTCCACAATCTTTTCAATGGTGCTGGGAATCATAAGGGGAGATGTGATCCTCTTTTCCACAGCTAAAACAACACCTTCGCTTGTCTGGATTCCAATGGCTGTCGAGCCCAACTTGATAGCCTCAATGGCATATTCCACCTGTGGGAAGAAACAGCAAGAGATTCAGTACTTAGAAAGTTTAATAAGTAAATGAATATAAAGTAAACCAAATAAATATGGTAACCAGCATATGCATGTGTCAAGTAATGAAAGAATCAATCAATGGTTAAAGAAAAAAGTTCTAATCTACATCAAGAAAATCAATCTTTATAAAAACAAGGATATAAATTATCAAATTTAAAGAAATATATTTGCTAAAAATAATCATGAAATATACCTCAATAAGATCCTAACCATATTCATTAGAAAGAACAGCAAATATCTATTCTATAATTGAAAGTAATACGACACCAATTCAGTAATTACCTGGAACAAACGTCCCTCTGGAGAGAAAGTGTTGACACCACGGTCATATTCACTACGTGTTAAAAACATCTGAAAAGAGGCATTACCATTAGCTAAGACTTCATGGAGAATAATAACTAAAAAATCAGTATAAATCCAGATACTTTAATTCTGTTACACAAGAAAACTGTATGTTCCCCATGCAGACTCCTGTGCAATCATGAGAACCCTAAAAAGAAGTGTATTGGCTGAGGTTTCAATTTAGCTGGACTTCAAATTACAGGCCATCCAACAAAAATCAAAGCAAGTATCATGCGCATTTGGCTATAACGCAATCAAGAAAAAAATTAGGTTTTTGAAATCCACTATGGGTGTCTTCAATACAGGATGAGTCATTGCAGCCCAATGACAGATTTACTAAAAACAAATGAAGAGTTCTTTATATATTTCCCAAATTCTACTGTTCTTTTTCATACATTCTGATAAGGTCTGCTTCACAAGAAATGGTAATGATAAAACTTCTGTTCAAATTGCTTACTAGGCAGCTACACATAATTAATCAACAGGTCGACCCATACTAAAACACATTCTATCTGTATATCATCCAGTATGGAAATTACTGCACTTTTCAACAAGATCTCGGCTGTGTAAAAAAAAGAAAAGAAAAGAAAAAAGAAAAAAAAAAAAAAAAAAGTGTGCAGTGTGCACTTCAAGAGTGCACATCCTGAAACTTTTCAGATAACAAAATGCTTGAAAGTCCTTTAAACTATTAGAAAATTCCTCGTTCCATATTGATGTTACATGAATATTTTGATCGTTGACTACCGCAATTCACACAGGTGTGCAAAAAGGAACTCAAACAAAAATCTTGGGTGCGCATCTGACGTACTTTCCACACTGTTATATCATTAAAGATTACAATAATACCCATATATACATACATCTATTTACTTGATATTCTGGTTTTCAATAAGAATTAAGAGACATCCATCATGTATATCTGTCAAGAGATGAGTTTGGACTTCCAATACCCAAGGTATTTGGGTATGTACCCCTTCAAATGGATATTCTCATTAGCCAGTTGAAGGATACCACATATGGTATATATATTCTTTTAATGCCTTCTTTCTTCTTAATTCCTGACAAAATTGACAGAAGAAAAGTGTCTCTGAATGTATGGTTTACCGTGTTACTATAATGGCAGGCTGACAGCAAGGCCTGGCCAACAGAACAAAGGTTTACCAGAAAATTCACAATTTCCCCGAATTACAATACCAGAACATCCACAGCGTCTCACATAATACGAATTTATCCTTTTATAGAGAAATCAGAGCGAATAAATACAAGTAAAACGCAAAATAAACACCATCCATGACTTTTCAAAATTACATGACATGACACTTTGACGTAAATTCTTCTACTTCCCTCTCATTTCTCTTTCAATAATTCACCATTCCTTGGTACTGACAGTATCTAGAATTGTAAATGAAACAATAAATCCACGCTATCCTCTCCCAAAACACAAAAAAAATCTCCCAAAATTAACAAAAATGCAAATCCAACTATCCAAGCTTTACCCTCTTCCCTCAAAAAAACACATACTCATTTCACTCTTCATAACACACAAACCAAATAACTAATCCCTCTCGTTCTACCTTCCCACGAATCTCCACAATCCCAGCAATCTACAGCGGGCCAAATAACGCCCCAAATTACCGTAAGAGGAGAGAAAATTCAGCTCAAAGACAGGAGGGACTCGAACCTTGACTCAATGACTTGTGTTTTGGCCGGTGTGTTTACCTCGAGAATTTCCGTCGGATTTTGGTAGATTTAAGGAAAGTTTAATTCAATTTAAGATCATTTTTAGTTATTTTTTGTTTTGTTTTATAAAATTCTAGTAACTACGGGGTTTATTTTGAGTATTTGATTGAGGTAAAATTCTGCCAAAATCTTTTTTGCGAGATGAATTGACGCATGACAAAAAAAATATTTTATTCATATCATTCAATTCGCAAATAATCAAACCAACAAACCAACATTTAAAAACAAGAAATTCTATTAAATCAATACACCAAAGAAGAATGAGTCTGAAAAACGGAATAAATGTTGGTCAAAATAACTGAAGGAAGCCAAGTGTTGACACCCGAAGATGGCGCGAAACACGTAAGATTTATTCGATTATTTTTATCTTTTTTCTCCTTTATTTCGCGTCGTTTGTCATCTTATTAAGTCCTCGTTGACCTCGTGTGATTCTTTCCCACGTGTAGTGTTAGTGAAATTGCTTATTATCTTATATTTTTCCATCTAAGGTGAATTTTTTATGTGCAGATTTATTTTGTATAAAAGAATTACCTTTTTAAATCGTATTTAGAAATTAATTTTATTTATTTATTTAGATTTATTTATTTATTTATTCAGATTTAGCTTCAGGGACATTTTCTCTCTTCATTTGAAAAGAATAATCAAGCATTTAAATCTCAAGCTTGGTCTTAATTCTTAATTATCCTTAATTATTATTATTTAGAATATTGGACAAGTGAAAGGAAGAAATAGGTAATTGTTTGGAACGCGTCCGCCTAAATGGGATGGTGTCGTTGTTAATTTTATGTTAATTTTAAGTTAATTTGATGTTAATTTCGGTGTCGTTCGATTCCTCTCTCGCCATCTTGTTTCCAAAATGTGCAGAAATTATTGCGCGGAAACCCCCCGAATCCCGACGCTCTTGACCCGGCGGCAGGGGAGCGCATGAAGGGTTACCAGGGAAATGCTGAGAAAAATGTAGATGATACACCCAGAATCAGTCGTTATATTGTTTAATAAAGGGGGCCATACACACCGCTGCTGCCTGAGAAAAGAAAGAATCCTCCGCGTATTCACGGCAGGAGAGAGCCTCGGGCAGAGAAGGCTGCTCCTGCGTGGCGGTCGTGCGCTCTCTCCTGCCGTGCGTGTTGGAGGATTTTTTGCTTTCCTGGGTGGGGGGGGGGGGAAGGCCGCCCCCGTGGGAGGGTCGCTGTCTCAGGGTGCCGTTGAGATGGCAACGCATGGAAAGAAAGAGAGAGAGAGAGAGAGAGAGAAAAAGAAAGAAAGAAAGAAAGAAAGAAGAAGAAATCTTAGTCGACCATACATATATTTGTGTTCTGATGATATCAATAAGTTAAAGAAGTGTCCTACTTACATTTAAGGGCAGAATCATATACATGTGTAGATAGATCAAGAATTAGATAGATAGATATGAATACACCCAATATCTGCAGTACAAAACATGATTTTTTTTAACCCTAAAGCGACACTCCCGATAACCCCAAAGTGGAGGGGCTGGGTCCCCCTGCGGACTTCCCCTTCCCTTTCCCGGCCTACGACATCCAGAAGGACTTCATGAGGAACCTGTTTCAGTCACTGGAGGGGGAGAAGCTGGGGATCTTCGAGAGCCCCACAGGAACGGTGGGTAATCTGCGGACATGACTCTTGCGTGATGTTATGACTTTTGTGGATGTTATTGTGTCTGTTTATAATGTCATCATTTTTATTATCATCATTATTTCCGTAATCATCAATATTATTGTTAAGACAAATATGAATATCATCATCTTCCAATCATAAAGATTGTTATATTATTATTATCATCATTTTTATTATCATCATTATTTCTGTAATCATCAATATTATTGTTAAGACAAATATGAATATCATCATCGTCCTTGTTATCATTATCAGCATTAGAACTTGTTTATTGGCACATAATCCTCATCCGTTATTCAGTCATGTATCTCGGATAATAGATAAGAATTCCGATATCTATAAGAGGAGAATATGAATTTTTATGCAGCATATGAATTAATTTTATGAACTCAAGATCTCCTTTTCCTTTCAGGGAAAATCTCTGAGTCTTATTTGTGGTGCTTTGACTTGGCTCAGGGACCACAACACCCATTATAAGGTGGGGCAGATGTTTTCTTAGATATATACCTTATATACGTATAATATTTATTTTAGAGAGAAGATATACATGTTTGACAGTGTAAATACCTATCTTTATTATGCATAACTGACAAATATGAATTCATAATCACTGTGGCAATAAGCATTTGTGAATCTCTTGTGTAGGGATTCAACCAACCTCAAGTAAAAATGTGTGGTAGGGATGCTTGATGAAATATTGATCCTATGTTCATACATAATTTTGGTAACTGAATTAGAAAATTAACACATCCCTATACTATAAATTTGTATTCATTTCCTGCCTTGGGTTGGACAGGCAGAGCTACAGAGGAAGATAGAGGAGGGCTCAGCCGCTGTTGACGACAACGACCCAGATTGGTTCTCAGCCGCAACCAAAAGAATCGAGGAACAGGGCGAGGTTAGGAAGTATCGAGAAGAGTTATTGGCTCTGCAGAAGCAAGAGGAAAGGGTTAAGGCCCTCAAAGAACGGCGCCAAGTGATCAAGGTTTGGAGCATTTGTGGGCCGGCCTACTTTTCAGATTTGTCGCAAAGACTGAGAAGAGAACTGACAACAGAGAAACCTAATGTCCAGTATTTTGATGATTGATTTTACAACTGGAATATGGATATATATTAATCACCTATTTAACTCTGTAGATTTCATTAGCTTCTTGGCTGTATGGTCAAGCACCTCAAATATGCTTGAGAACTAAATTTTTAGTTGATGGTTTTGTATTCTCAAGATATTTGCTGCATTTTCTCTTACTGTCGAAACTTCCTAACAGAGATCCAGAATAAAAAAGATAGACGATGACTTTGATGAACTCTTCAGAGACTTGCATCAAGTGAGCGAAGAAGTGCGGCGTGAGCTTAGTGCCATTGGAGGTGAGTGTGTACTCTTGGTAGGATGTCTCTTCTCTTTGTTAAATGTCTACAAGGGAATACTATTAGGCAAGTTAATTGAATATTAAGATAAATGAGTGATAAAAGATATGAGGCCAATACACAATGTTTCCATATGGAAACCAAAAGAGTTCTGAAAAGTTTACGGAGTTTTTTTTTTTTGTTTTTTCTTTCTTCTTCTTTCCTAACATTATTAAAGATTTCTCTGTTGCTAGGGAACAGTGAAGTAAGTGAATGAGATGTGAATATACGAAGATATTCTGTCCATCATCAACAGGAGTGGAACCCATGTCAGCTGAGGAGAGTGAGTGGCTGCTCGATGATTATCACAGCGATGATGAGGGGGAAAGTAAATACAGTAAAGATAAGGAAGAGGAGGAAGAAGATAAGGGTTGTTTAAAGGTAAAGTGCTTTGAGAGTTGTGTGATGTTTTGTAGTTAATTGTGGGATGAATGACCAAAATTCTGATTGTTCTTTGTCTTCCCTGGAATAGTCATATCATAGTAAAAATTTTCATTGTTCATATTTCCATTATTTATTTTCCTTGTGTTTGTATGTATTTATAATTTTCATTTTTATTTATTTGTTTTTTTCTGATAGTTTTTTTTTTTTTTTTTCTTTCTTTCTTTTTCTTTAGATATACTTTTGTAGTCGCACACACTCTCAACTGTCGCAGTTTGTACGTGAGGTTCAAAAGACTGTGTTTGGGGAAGATACACGTGTTGTCTCCCTGGCATCAAGGCAGAATTTGTGCATTAATGAGGCTGTCAGCAAACTCCATAATGTGTCTCTTATTAATGACAGGTAGTGTTGTTTCACGTCGTTCTTTTTTTGTGTGTGTGTTTTCCTCTTTTTTTTATTATTATTATTATTTTATCCCATCCCTACAAAATTTTCTTCGCTAAAAGATGTTTTATTTCTTCATTCATAGTATTAATCAAAAGAATGCCTAAGTAGATCACAGAGAGTTTTGTATTTCCACAAGACCCGACAATATGACGGCCAAATTTCAATATTTGCAAGCTTTCATATGACCAGACTTTCTTCTCCATCAGGTGTCTAGAACTACAGAAAGGCAAGAAAGGTCAGGCCACAAAATGCGAAAGTGATGGTTCAGTTAGCAAAAAGAAAAAGTCTTCTGCTGGATGTCCCTATTACAAGCAGACAGCCGTTGATGGTCTCGCTGATCAGGTGAGCGGTTTATGATCTCTTGGTAAAGTAAGGCAAGTGAAAAGAAGAAGCCAAATTTGATTGTTTTGTTAGCACTTTAAATTCAAGTCTAAGTACTAAGAGATCTATACTCAGTAAATAGGAGTTGATATTACACTGAGTGAAAAGAAATTACTTGATAGTGGACTTATTATTTTGCTTCAGTATGTTGTGATTCAGTAACAAGCATCTGCGTAGAGAACTATATATGAAATATGGAATTGCATCATCTGTTTATGCTTTGAAATAATTTTTATTTTCCCTTGAACTCTATAGTAGGGTTTGATGCGCTTAGTTTTTTTCCTTGTAACGTGTAGAAATTTTTCCCTTTCTCCCTCCAAAAATTATTAGTATCCTGATTTAAAGATGAATGAAAGAGAGAGAGAGAGAGAGAGAGAAAAAAAATGTTTCCAGGTTTGGTCTCGATTTGGTAAGAGATTTTTATTTTCCAATTTTATTATTATTATTATTATTATTATTATTATCGTCATTATCATCTCCCTCAGCTCTTACTCGAGGTACAAGACATAGAGCAGATGGTGGGACTAGGACGCAAGACAAAGGGATGCCCATATTACGCTTCCAGATATGCTGTCAAAGATGCCCAGGTAAGAAATGCAGGTCAGAATCAACCTCACTAGTCTGGCATATCTGGAACCAGGCATGTGATAGAGTAGTGGATTTCCCATATAATGAAGCCCCTTAGAATAAAAAGGTAAATTAAAGTATATGCTAAGCCACTTTATGGATAACTTTAATGTAA